GCAGTCACTTGATTGCCGTGAAAGCAAATACCCTTAATTTTATGGAGTGCTCCTCGCCATAAATTATAAAATTCCGCTTCGACTCTCATTGATTTCCACGCCCCATTACCTGCTCGTGTGACCCCAAAGCGTTCTCGGGCCACCATCCGACTGCTTTAAGCTTCCGGCCACCGCAGCTCCGACCCGCGGCGCGGCGCAAGTCAGAACGCCACTTGATCATTAACGGTGAACCGCGGCAAGGAGCGAGGCTGCCAGGAGCTGCGCTATTTAGCAGCTTCGAGCAATTGCCAACGTAAATCAAATGCCACATTCTGCACTGGCAACATCCCGGTGCCGATTCAACACTCCCTCGAACGCATATTTTATTTTCCCAATTTTTAAGACATGAAATTTTATGCTAGGTAGCAGGGCAGAAAGGCGCTTGAGCAAAGGATGCGTGACCAGAGACGTTCTTCTGCGATCACACTCTTCAAGGATAGTGCTGACAACACCGTCAATTCAAGTCAACCTTGTTAATATGAACTATTAAGATAAGAGAATACAGATCTAGACTGATAGAGTATAAATGTTCAAAAACAAAGTCATTTAAGAGCACCTGGCTCCAGAGGCTTTCCTTCTGACTTTACAATACAATTCCTATAGTTAAAATATTTCGTATAGCGTTACTCATCTTAACAATTTGGGTTTGACTAAGAAAGTTCATCAGTTTTTTGTAAGACATGTTATATTCCACCTGTTCTGAATTCCTACAAAATTAGAAAATAAATTTGAAGAAAAACTTAAATTGCTAGTCTCCATTTTAGTGGCTTGGATATACACTGTCAACCTGCAACGTGTCACGACTGCAACTCCGATGCCCCAAGAATGGCACAGTGTTGTCGGTGAAACTTGGTTCGGGAAAGCAGGAAGCTGGAGGAGTTGCTGCCAACTGTTGGCTGCTGCTTGCTGCACACATACACAATTTTGATTTATTATTTTGATTCCTGTTACTTTACTACCTGCCAGGATGCAGTCCGGACTCCGGACCGGCAACTGCGCTTTCCCCCAGCCACCTCATAGTAGCCAGAGCTCGGTCGTCGTCGAAGCTTTTCTTTATTTTTATTCACACGGTTTCTGGTTTTATTGCTCCAATTACTTCATGTACTACTCGTTTTTCCGCCGTCCCTGCCCCACCCGGTTGATGTGTGGCACTCGAGTAGATTTAATATTTTTCATCCGCACCTCGCCAGCTTTCGTTTCACTGATTTAATTTATCATGTTTGCAGACTCTTCGTTGATTTCTGTTGCCCAACATTCTGGAATATTGGTTTAACGATAGTGGCAAAATATTTTCACTTTGTACTTTAATTTTACTTCAGTCATTAATAGGAGCCGTATTTAGTGAGCATTGAGCCAGCAGTTCGCTGCCCTCGGATTTGCTCGGCTTCTTAACCAACTACACTGACTTCAGGCAATCTCTGAGAGCCCTCCATGCGTGGAACTCTGGTTCCCGGCCAACGAGGACTTGATACCAATTAAGCACTTGCGATCATATGCTGAAAGGTTGGAGCTCTTAGCTGGCAGAGCCCCTACCTCGTTTGAAACACTCCTTCACATTGGTTTTTTATGCTGGCTTTTCGCGACCCACTCGACACCTGTGCCTGCCATTGCTCTCCCTCCGAGATCCAGAATGCGAAATGCAAAACGCTTAACTGCACATAAAATATACAAAACTAACTTAGTTCGCGCATATCGCAGGACATAACTCATGGGCACCCGGCGACACCTCCTGCTCCCCCACCGCGAGCACCACTTGCCATTTGTAACTGACTGCACAAAAACAAAGCTAGTGACAATAAAAGAGCGAGAAGGCGCAGGAGCTATGTAGCTAGCTCCTAACAAGCATCGCCGGAGCCAGTAGCCAGAGATCGTCCTGGAGCGGCGAGGCTGCCTACCTGGTACCGGGGCGCAATTCAGGACACACAGTTCGAAATCTCGGAACTATAATTTAATTTTAAATTTAGTTTTCCTAATTCATACATGACATGAAATGTTTAATCAAGAGGAAAACATGACTGCTGAGTTATTATCTCTTAATGATCTTTATCTTTATAAATCTTTCTAGATTTATTTATTACTGATAATTATCAAATATAATATATCATGATTATATGCACATTCTGTACATGTACACATCATGGATCCCTGCTGTTAAAGGTTAATAAAATAATTTAGATTGACTCTAAATCTGATTCGAATCATTCTTGCCGTGGACTTAGTTTATGGCACCTGGGCATTACCATATCATATGTGCGGATATACCTTCTCACTCAGCTTGCACGCCCTTTGCTGCACTCCGCTAATGGCAACTGCTGAGTGGATGCAACAAAGCGTGTGCGCTCCGCGGGGTGTGGTGGTGGTTGAGCGGCAGAGGGGGCGGCCGGGCAGCTGGGCGGTGCAGCTGTGGCGGGCTATGTATAAATTCATAAAGAGAGCCACAGCAGCGGGAACGGAAGAGGGGAAGGACGACTGCGGCAACATGTTGTAATTGCGTATTTTATAGATATGCGCGGCCCTTGCAAAAGATGGAAAAGGGGAGTGGGAGTGGGAGTGGGAGTGGAGTGGATGGTTGTTGTATCTGCCATTCGCTCTGTTTGCTTTTGTTTGGTGCGGAAATGGCAGCCGGTGTGCAGCGAAATATGCCAGTAAGAGCAACAACATCACGCATACGCCATGTTGCGCCATTTGAAGTTGTTGGCGTATACGTAATTTTTATTTTACAAGCAAGCAAAAACAAAAAACAGAAAACAAAAAACAAAGAAAACAGAAAACATTGAGCGCTGAAAAATGCATTCAGAGCCGCAGCAATAACAAAAATGGCACACAGAGCACAGAGAAATTTTAATTGCTCAAAAAGCGTCAAGAAGGGTTTGAGGCGGGGAAAAAGCGCATATACATATACATGGAAATATGGATGTTGGCCCAGGGAGAGCGGGAAGCACAAAACTAAATTTGCGTCCGTTATGGCGACTTTTATGACTTTTAATTCAATCAAAGTTAAATCAAATTACAAAAATGGGAAAAACGTACAGCTGACGATATATGTTTATATTTCTGTTTGACAGAGCGCTTGCTTTGACAGATTCATATGTTTGAAATGAAAGATCATGACTGGGATCTAAACTAACATACAGATATCTCTTAATTCGGTTAGGAAAAGGGACCGCAGTTCCATACAACTGCTGGAAATGTCATTTAACGTTATAGAATGTTATGTCATCTCTGCTGGTACATTTAGCAGAAACTGGCGACCCATTTCAGATATAAGTTTTCGGGGTCCTACTATTCTATGAAAAGGGAAAGGCTTCGAAATAAAAATATATAAAAATGAGTTCCGCAAAAAGTGGCACGCAAATGCGCACTTTGCTTTGTGTGTCCTTTCTAGGTCCTGTTTTGTGCGCTGTGTCGCGTGGGTACATTATCAGCCATGCGTGAAAATCAGGACATGCGCGTGAGAGGAAAGGCTTTGTTCACACGGTGCCACGAACTAATGATGATAACGCAGAGCCGGCAGAGGAAAACTCCCCTTTTGCTTTCCTGAATTTTTAATATGATATCCATCATTGGGGGCTTCTTCAGGATAGACATTCGATGTGCAGCGTCATTTGAGTGTGAATGTTTTGATAAGCATTTGGAATCGGTTCTCTTTGGGCTTCAGTTAAAATGTGATTTGTTCAAGTAATTTCGACTCGCAAGTAGATTACTTTGCAAATAGTTTCAGGTTGGTATGAATAATTTGTAGTATAGCTGAATATTGATGTTTGTTTAGTGGCTATGAGTTCACAGTGCCCCACGTTACAAGTGCTCCCTTGCCTTGATTAGCTGCACTCCACTGGAATTTATGTGTGCGCAGACCAATTTGAACTTCAAGGCAAACGAATGAAGGTTTTTCGACCACAACAAAAACGGATTCCCATTCCTGATTCAATGCTTTAATAACTGGTCGGCGTAGCTATCTTTAGCTTTAAGTGGAGTTGCTGTAGACCGCCCCATTTCGAGAATTCAGATTAGAGATCAAAGTGGTATGCTGTGGTATCCTGTAGGAATCTCTGTGCCCCGCGAGTTCTCCGTTGAGCTTTAAAAGTTTCCAGCCTGTAATCTGAAATTCAAATTCAGTAACCAGTTGAGAGCAAAATGCGATTCTGTTCCGTGTACGTTCTTCTTTATATAGTACGCAAACTGGATAAAACTACGGAGAAACGCAAACTTGAAGGCAGACTTGAGACGGACAGATCCTCCACAGGATTATCGCAGACCTGTCTATCCATGGGACGGCGAAATAGGGAGCTTTTGCGTTTCCTACTTAAAATTTTCATACGATGATGATGGCTGTGTATCTCAATCAATAAAACATTCATGCATATTCCCCTTAATAGTGGATCATTTAAGAATTAACTGGGCTTCGTTTAAAGTTCCTAGGCGGCCACAGGACAATATGGCGTCAGTCCATATTAGAACATAAATTACACCGACACCAATGACAATGATGACAATGAAATGTGATGCTGCCCATTCATTCAAACCTCGGTCACCCCGCTGTTTGTGAGCTTGAAAATGGCAGCTGGATGTGCGTTGCCCATGCCTGTATCTGTCCGCCATTGTTGGCTGTCTAAAATTTCATGGCCCAACAACGGCACAGCAACAGCAGTTGGCCAACTACAATGGACATCTCGGCCAAACTGCTTGTTGGAGGACCCGCCCATTTTGTTAGTCCGAGCAAAATAATCTGCTCCAAGCTAATGCACGCAATTACAGGGCCAAGTAGTATGCCGATGAGGAGGAGAAAGATGAGCCATTGACCAGGCATTTGATGCCGACATACAACATCGATGAGTGCTGCGCCAATTATGTACATACTCTTGGCGGTCAGAGATTAGATATGAGGCTCTGGTTTTGTATAGAAATCTATGCAGGGTTTTTATAGACTTGCAATGAATCTTACATTATTTACAAAATATGAATTTACACTAGTTCTGTTTGTCAGTACACTTTAATGCCGTTAAAAATGGGACTTGACCTTTTCTGCATAATACTGACGTTGTCTTAACATCTACCTAGGACCGTCCGGTTCCGAGCGTGATCGTTCGAATCAGATCTATTTATTTACATCACGAAATACCAAAATACCGCTACTGCAGAATTGCGACCACAATAACAAGGACAAGGACCGCCGCGGAGCACTTCGCGCTGATCTCCGCCCCAGCCGTCAGTTTCACATTCTCGTTCATGTAGGCGATGGCCACCGAAATGGGCGGCGAGCCTGCGTCGCACGGGGTCTTCGCACAGGAGTTATACAGCTCGGTGGTGTACCGGAACGGGAAGTCGATGCAGTGCAGCTGGGCGGGCTCCGCATTCGCCTGGGCATAGTTGCGCCCGTCGCAGAACAATTGCTTGTTGCTCAAGACCACCGTGTAGCAGCTGAAGAGCGGCGAGTCATAGAAGACGATGAGCAGGTACGACGGGTGGCTGGTGTCCGTCCGCCTCCAGATGGCGTACGGCGTGTCGATGGCTGGGATGCGGTCCTTGTGCATGTAGCGGATGCTCTCTTTGTAGGTGCCGTGGCAGACGTACTCTAAAATATGTCCCTCGATGAAGTTACAGCTCGCGTTCGCACAGGCAGCCGGCGTTGGTCCCATTAGCAGCAATGTCAGCAGCAGCAGCACCGCCTTGTTATTCAACTTTTGGGGACTGGAGAGGCGCACTGGCATTGCTTATAGTCAAATGATTCTGGATCATTTTAAAAAAATTTGATGGCAACGTCTAGGAGAATAATCCCAGAGCTGTTTGACAGGAGTTTCTTTTGTTTCCCCCAACCCAGGCGTTACCTGATCTAGAACCGCCTCCGACCCCGACTCATATCACACTGCCTTCTGTGGCTCCTGCACATTGATACAATGAATTCAACCCAAATGCTTTATATCCGGCTGCGGATTTCAGGATTTTTGCTATCAAAGGAATGCTTTGACTATAACCTTGGTGCATTGGCGATTCATGGAAACAGATGTAACTGGAGGCCGCAGGCCGTTTACCTTGACCCATCTATCTCGGAAGATCAGCTTTAGCTCGATTCTGTACTGGGCTTCGCAGGATAAGTTAAAGTCCCGATTTTGATGCTCAAGGAATTCGCAGTTGTGGAAGGAGCTCACTTTGGAGGAGGAGCAGCAGCAGTTCCTATGGCTGGCTAATGAAGTGGAGTCGCATGAAAAATGTTTTGACAATAAACGCCTGGCTTAATTTGGACAAATAATGAACGTAATTCAGACAGATAATACCGAAATCATTTATGAAATAAAAGACCGATAGATTATTATTGGAATTTTATTATGTTGGTGTTTTGAAAACAAACAATTATCATCAAAAAAATCGGGAAATCGCTTCATTTCTTATTTGGATTTAGAAGACGAATTTATATTTGAATTTCTAAACTAAAAATTCTTATTATCATAAATTTTGTATTTCTATTAATACGTGTATTCAAAACTCTGGAAAATGTATACTTTAAAGTTTATATAATCCAAAACTATATCCGGACTTGGCTCTGGGACTCAACACCCATAGCTTTGGCATCCAATCAGTTTCTCAGGCCCAATGCAGCAACTACGTGCCACAGGAGATGCTCAATCGAGGGCAACGCTGAGTAAAGCTTTCTGAGGAGGCCAGTGAAAGTTAAAAAGAAAATTCCACATCAAATTGATTTACATGCGGGTACTTGTGTGCGCAGACACTGAAGGAGACTGCAGCAATAAAATGGCGAAGGAAAGCGAGGACGAGAAGGCGCACAAATAAAATAAAGGATGCCGACGTATGAGGAACGAATTTACTTTCAATTTCGCCTCAATGACAATTTTTCTGATTTAACTCCTTTTCATGAGAGCCGAAGGACCGGAGTACTCGCCTGGCTCAGCGTCCTTCGTTACCTGCCTTTATTACGTTTCAATAATAAATTGTATTAAGTATGTTTGCGCAATGGAGCTGGCGGCACTAGCTCGGCTGATATCGGAGAGTATGTCGCAGGTGTTTTGTCTGTCCCACACGAAGGGCCAAAGAAAAGAACTGAATTAAGTGGGAAAATGCCAAAACAGTCCCTGAATGACATTCTTGAACAGAACCCCTTCTGGCGCACATTCAAAGCTGAAATTACAATTCCATCTTGCCGCTGGCAGGGTTCACCACTCACCACTCGCCACCCTCTCTCATCTCTTTGCTATTATGCATTGGGGCGGCCTTTGTGCCAGCTTCATTGTAATTTTAATACATGTCACGTGATTTACAGCTGACGCTGCCTTCGGAGCCTCTATCGCGCCACAGGTCCACCAGGTGGTGACAGCCTCGGCCCTGTGTGGTCCTGACACATTGTCAATAAGTGTCGAATAAAAGAGCTACTACTCTTGAAGATGTTCGACTCTGAGGTACCCTGTACTCATAAAAGCAAAAAGATACCATGGCAAGTTTTCTGACTGGATGATAGAAAAGAACTGTCTATCAATTGGCATTAATTAGAGCTAATCGAAGGATAGAAAAGAAGAAACATAAACGTAAGGTACTCAATGTTAATGCACGGACGAAACTCTTCATCCACCAACCTGAAGATGACGGTTGAATCAATGCTCGGCACTACTGGTGCAAGAAATAATTCCATTAGTAAAATAAATATACGAATGAATGATTGAGCAGCGCCAGGAGAGTTGACCGGGGAGAGGGCTCAGGCCTAAACCTGAAGGAGACGCGCGCATAAACCAAATACGGGGACCCCGGCCCACACGAGTACCCGCACTCGCTCCGGGGTCTCCGAAGATGTCACTCTACTGCGACTGGCTGTATACATATTACATGAGCCGCTCGAGCACAGTACACATATTGACCCATTTCGATGCCACAGACAGGCCACCACGCCACCTGTCCTGGGGAGACTGAGAGTAGTTCTGGTTAATAAAGTCAAATGCCACCAAAATCAAAAGGAAGACGCCACTTACGCCTAATGGCATCACGGCATCATGGCATCTGAGGTAAGAGGAGCTAAGAGGAGGTAAGATGCCAGAAGGACCTTCTCCTGTCACAACTGTCCACGCTGCAGCAGCCACAAGAACAATGGGCCGGGACATCCGCAACAATCCTGGGGCATTACTCGGGCTGGAGGAAAATCGGTGGATTTTTAATTGTATTAACATCCCTCAGCCTTCGATCCGGGAGCACCTCTGGCCATCTCGATGGGCTCCGCTCTATGCGGCACTTAAGTGCGTGCCGAAGCTGCCAAATATTTGATTTGGCTCGTAGCATGAGTGTGGCTTTTAGGCAGATATGGCTGTCCTTAGCAGGAGTTCAACATCTTGAGAATAGTTGACGAATTCGGGCCATAGCATCAGAAATGAGGCCAAATAGGATAAATCAGCTAGCATCTGCAGCAGCTGACTCAATTTAGTCAAGCAAGCTGGTTCTTTAATTGCATAGCTATCTTAAGATAACTTTGTTGGTATGTAGTTTTCTTTCTTTTTTATTAGTATATAATTTTGAATGGGCGAGTTTAAAAATGTAATACATTGGTGCAGTCAGTTTAGGAAAATCAGCAGCTTCAAGAAGTACTGAAATACTGCATTTTCAGAAATCTTATAATTTTTAGTTCACCTCCAGAGGGTTGGGTAGGTCGGAGGTGAACTCACGTGCTGGCGACACGAAGGATCCAACGAAAGTCAGTGCGGGACGCAGAGCAAGGATGTGGAGTCCAATATAAACGACAGCAAATTATTCGACGTCAGCGCAGGACAACGGAGCAGCAGTCGTAGCAGTCACAGGAGTCGAGTGTGCGTGTGGGAGATTCCGCAGGACAGTGCAGGGGATTGCGTGTCTGGCAAGTCGGCGACCGAAAATCAAAAGAAAATTGATATTAAGAAATTGCACGGAATGAGTAAATGAAGCGTGGCCGCCTAATGGACTGACGTCTGAGCCGAAGGAAGGCGGTCGGTCTTCTGATTGCCACCTCGGAGAAATATGTATTAAAAATTCCACGAAAACTAATCAATGTCAAATGTCGGTTGATTGCTCCACGCCGACGGCACAGATAGATAAGGCCAGAGTTCTAGGTCCTGTGTCCTGTGTCACGGGTGCTTGGTGGTTTTAGGCAACGCGTGGTAAGCCGAAATTAGAAAATAATTTGCTTTGTTCCAGGTAATTTATGTGCTGCCATAAATTGGCCAGGGCGTGTCCTGAGGAGTGTCATCAAATGGGTGGACAACTCGGAACCGGTCGTCGCTCATAAGTCCTTTAAAGCTTTTACCTAATCCCGTCTTCTTGTCCATCATGACTGAGAAGTTTGGTAATTGCTAATTTTTCGCTCAATGAGACAAGCGCTAGGAAATATATTTTGCAAAATAATAAAGTTTATCCACTTTTACTGTTTACTATCAGAGTGAAATGTGAATGAAATCTCAGGGCAAAGTTCAACTAATGCAAGATTTTAGTTTAAAAAGGCCAATCTTGTACGCTTTCAGCAGTAATAGCGCACCAGCTGTGATCTCTTCCGAATGCTGCACCTTTCCCACAGGGATAATGCTCGGTATTGGCAAACAATGTGGAAGCCGTGTCCTGGGAAATGGGCTTCACACTCTGTGCAGTGTACAGTGCACAGCGTGCCGGCTTCATCCACCAAACAGATGTCATATTGACATTTCTACTTAACATCCTTGCTCGCTGCTCAATTTTTAATCGGCCTTTCAAGCCGCTTTCACGTCCACAGAGAAAGCGGCAAACTCATTATTTTTATTAATATGATTTTCGCTGCACTTCACCTCGCTGCTCCGCTGCTCGTCGGTGCAATTTGTGCATTTTGTAATTTTAATTTTCATATTTAAGGGCAGGGCCTGCGAGGCTGGTGCGATGAAGCTGACTGAGGGCACCGGTGTCAATACATCTCATTGTTCCCTCCAGTGAACAGCATTTATTTGCAATTATTTGTTTTAAGCCTTAACACAGAGGTCGGAGTGGGATGCGAAGGAGTCTGTCGAGCTCTTCTGGGTAAATTGCTTTAAGCCCCTCGGGACCGAACTGAGGCTGAGGCTGAGCGGCTCAAATGAGCAGACGACCCGGTCCTGGCCGCCTTCTCCCCGATGTCCTGTATCGCATTGCGATGGAAATGCGTTTTTAATTGCTGTCAGAAAGGTTCGCGTTCACGTTCGCGTTCGCGCTGCTGACTGCGTGTTGAATTATGTCAAACAAGTTGTCTGCCGAACGAGAGATGACCTCGTTGACACACTTTACGGATTTCGCTTGAACCACTCTTTATTCTCTCGCCCTGCGGTGTTATTGTAAGTTAATGCTGTGGGCCGGAGGCGTGGCCTGCAAAGGGCAAATTCGGTGTGAAGTGTGCAAGATCGAGGAGTACTCCTGCATTTCTTGCATTCCCTGCTGACTGGCACAATGCGAAATAATTCCGGAGCCAGGTGAAAAAGTCGCCCGGAGGCCCTTGTCAGACACAACACTTGGGAAGCTGCGCAGAGTTGACCAGCAAGCTCCCAGCTCACTCCCCGGTGTTGACAGGCTACCTTCTCGGCACTCCGGCACCTGCTGAGATGTGGCTAAATGCTGACTGCCAACTGCTAACTGAATAACTGACACGCTTTCGGGCCATGGAGATCTCCTAACTGGGATGCCAGGCGCAGCTCCAGTTCTCCAAGTGCATTCGGAAAGCGAATGGACGGCAGGAAGTCTGGCCTTTTAAAGGCAATCAATTTGACCATTGGCCAGGCCAGGCCAGCGCCCGACTGATGCATAATTTATGCAAACTCCCACTGCAATGAATAATAATTCGCTGCCAAGACTCCCAATTCCCGTCGCCAACTCCCCGGGCTCTAATCCGCCGGGCTCGACTCCGGCTTATTGAGCTGCAATCGAGAAGCGACATCAGAAATTGAATAAAAATCGAGAGCCAGAGGAGCGAAAATATGGCAGCAAAGGTTGAAGTCGCCGTCTGGTCTGATCGGGCCACAGCCAGACTGGGGCTGAGAGGACGGGACGGTACAGGGCGGGACAGGACAGCCCAGGACGAGAGCTGGAAAACATGGCAGCAAAAGTTTTGTGCAGCTTCCTTGGCCATGTCACTGGCCTGTCTGTAAATCTTGCCGTTGTGGTTTGCAGTCAAAGTAGAAAATTGACTTGATAAAAAGTTTACTATTTTCCTAGTTTCTTTCTGCCCTTTACGGTGTTCCGTTTGCTATCCCAGAATCCTTTGGCTGTGTCAGTTGTCAGACGCTCTTTTGTGTCTCATCCACACGCCTTATGAATTATAATAAAATTTCAAGTAAGGAGTCTCATCCTGATCCCTGCAGAGCAGGCCTAATGTTAAAGCTTAGCAGGAAATCCGAAAATCTAAGCCGTGCCATAGTCATTGGCTAAATTTACAGATTCCCTTTTGTCTGTCTAGACTTTTTTGGATAAATCCTGCTACATTAATCTGAAATAATTCAGGAAAAACTCTCTTTGCAACTATCCATTAACAAATAAATCTAAATTTCATGGAAATAAAACAGAGTCTAAAAAAACTTGGAAATGTAATCTATTGATGAAAGCTATCACAACTAAAATTTAATTTTATTACTGTTCATATGATATCTATAAAAGAAAACGAGTTTCAAAAGTTTTTGCAAAATTTCCTAAGTCTAGTAAAGATTAATTGGGAAGCAAGTGTGCCAATAAAATTGGATAACTTAATTATCTTGTGTACTGTACTAAATTAATAAAAACCTATATTGCATAATCCCTACATCTACGTATTAAAAGTACTCCCTTAATATCAAACTTTTCCTTGAAAAATCCAAACTCGATGAGGAAAAACAATGGTTTAACAATTCAACATGCGTCTGGAACGTATACAAATATTTAAAATGGGTTTTAACCGATTTATGGTTTTGTATGTGCCCTTTGTAGGACTTTCAGACACGTCATCTCCCCTTATGCCTCCTCGAAATGGCGGCCACATGCAGTTATTTATATATGTTTGCTTTTTACTCGACATTGGGGCCCTGCTCCAAATTGATATTTATTCCCCCGAATCCGGACTGAGCGAAAGTCAAAGCCAAATCCTCGCAACTCCCGTATAGGCTTTAAGGCAGTTAAGGTAAGAAATAGCCTGCAGCTGGGCAAGAGTTAATTGGCTGCATTTCAGCACCAGAACCACTAGGGGAGCCCTAGGCCACCCGTCTCCTGGCTGGAGTCCTGCCAGATTGCCAGTGTATGTATTTGTACCGGCTGTTTTCACAACTCATTAGTACTATAAGCGCCCAGAGTCTGATAATACTTGGATTACTCTGCGTACTCTACAAGGGCTTCTTATATTGTTTAAGTGACATTTCTCGACATATCTCACATCTCAAATTCCTGCATGAATTTTAAACTGCCTTTGCATGTAGACCGGAAAGGCTGAACTATAAGTGTTTTATTTTTTAAAAGTGTTTATGTTTTTCAAAGCATTTCCCATTTTATTTTTAAATTGAATCAATTACCATTGACGCACTTTAATATAATATTTAATCTGTACTCTAAATATCAATGGATGACATATTAAGAAAATATAAGGTATTAATTACATCTACATCTACCACAACTCTCATATTTCATTATTTATTACGGATGAATACGGGATCGTGAAAAAAGAAAATCGAATAAATTTCGTAAAAGTGTTTGTTTTTATATGTATGAAATGGTATTTTTACTCTTCACAATTATTACCATACTTCTAAAACGATTTCTTCATAAAATATAATGTTAATTAACTTAAGAACAATGTGCCCCATCTATTTAAATACCCTTTTCTTGAAAAAATATTTGAATAGGACAAAGTATATATCATTTATACGACAAATTTTGTTTAAATATGCAAATGTACAAACTTTCTACAGTTGAAAATACATTTTGATAACATTTGTGTAATATAAGGAATTTATATGGTATATTAGTGCTTGCTTAAAATGCTTAAATTATTACGTATACATATTTAACTCTTACATATATTGCTTTGGGGTTTTTGGCACTTAACTCTTTGCGCCTGTCCCCCGTTTTTAAGTACCCCGTTGGGCTTGGCCCATGGACTGACGCTTTGAATTGCCTGCTGTCAGGCTCAAGGGTTCCAGGACTCCGGGAGCACAGGACCCTCGTCGTCGGGCCTTACCTACGCTGCACTTCATTTTGCAACTTTCGAGTGTTGCATGCACGCCGCTCTGTGTGTGCGTGTTTACAAAATAGTTTTGTACTTACTTCTACTTGAACTTTTCAGTTGGCTTTCTTCCCCCGCCCCCTCTCGACCGCTCCTGTTCTCCTCCTGTTCAGCCGGAGGGCTACAAAAATGTTGCCGCAACTCTTTTGCCTGCATTGTTTTTGACTGCAACTCCCCTTTCCTGCCGCCTCGACGGCTTTTACTTTGCAGCTGTCCCTGCCCAGCCCGGCTCCTTCCTCCATCTGTGTGCCCCGCTCCGTCTGTCCCTCTCGCTTTCTCTGCCAGTGAAGCCTGTAATTTATTTCTTGTTTTGATTGAAATATTGCTTTACAAGCAAAAAGACACAAACACACACACACACACACACACGAAGTGGGCTGAGCAGCAAGGCTTAGCAAATACGCAGGACGGGCAGGATCAAGGGGTATGCCGAGGTGCAGAGGAGTGTCAGCCTGTCTGCCAAACGCATACACTTCATTACACGACGGAGTAGTACACTGAGAGAAATGCCTCCAGACTGCCAGCGAGTGTAGACACATGGCCCATTGCATCCGATTTCTCCCGGTGCACCCGGTACCCAACTACTGGTAAAAAGTTATTCGTATCGCTGCACAAACACCCTCCCTGGACCCCTGGAGCCTTGGATCCCTGGATCAGCTTGTCTCTCCGCCTCTGTGCTTTCCTGAATGTGCTGTGGGCTGGGGGCTTCGCAAACAGGCATATTTCAATCAAAATTACATATTGAATTCTCACAGCAACCGACCGAAAAACTCCAGCCGAAAGCAAACTTTCAGCCTCAAGAGTTGTTTTTGTTTTGCTCCCGCTGTTGTTGTTTTTTGATAGTTTGCAAGTTTAGAAAATGTGCAATTAACTACAGGAAATTAGTGTTTACAGTTAAATTTTGCTACCGTTTTGGGTCGTTTCCAGGCAACCACCAGGCATATTCAGTTACTTCTGTAGTATAACCTAGTATTAGTGTACTGACTCCGTACTCCCTCCGAGTGTCGCCTGTAAAGGTGTTATGTATCCCCCTCCGACTGATTTATGTGCAGCCCCTGCCAATAATCATACTAATAGTAGTAGTCTTGAGTCTGGAAGCCAAAGCCTTCGCTCGACAATGCGAAATTAATTCCGAGTGCTTGTCATTTTAATACGTACTCAAATCCAAACGATTTTCAACGGCTTTTGTGCGGCAGATGATGTCGGCGATGGCAGGACGAGCGATGGCAGCTATCCTTGCAGCAGAAGTCAAATTGAATCAACAATATTAGCAACAAAGGACCACGCCCGGCTTTGCTGGCAGTGAAACCCTTGCACAGCTTCATCATCATTATCATGCTCAATATCTCCGAGGCGGCGGCTGCCATTTTATATTATAAATTGCATTATAATTCAAATTCTGCAATAAATCTCAATTTCGAGCACAAAGGCCGGGCGCAGGACGACGGCAAAGCGAGGACGAGGACGAGGGTGAGGACTCTGTGCAGGAGGGCAAAGGCAAAAGTTTACAGCCTCGAACGCACCTTGAAAACGTAAAACGGAATCACCGCCCAGGCAAATCAATCGATTACGCGACTTAACTTTTCAATGGCCTAAACGACGGGCGAACAAGCTGGAAATGGGATGCGGCAGGTGGGCGAAAGGGTGGCCAGGACGACGGGACTCCTTTATGTTTATCATAATAATGGCTGGGCCTGGACGCCCGGGATGGACTGTCAGACGAGATTGCTCTCTCCGTTCTTCATACCGGATAAGGGATATTGCCAGGGAAAGCCCGTTGTCGATGCTCGTCCTGGGTAAGGACCCGGCAGCTTGAATAAGTTTATGATTATGTTACTAATCGTGGCTGGTTGGCTTTGGCTTTGAAATGACAGCGAACGAAGCGCTTTCGTTAAGGCCAACTTTAGTTGATAAGAGGTTTAATTTAGCATAGCGTCGGAAGTCCAACCTGGGCAGTGGTGGCTCTTAGAGCTGGTAAACACCAAATGGATTCCCTCTTTAATCATCTGCTGCTGAGGCATAAGCCGCTCCTTTCTTCCATTCGACACCAGGATGCTTTCTAATAAGCGATAAATCTGTGCCAAAGCTCGCAAAAGAAAATTGAATCAGGCACAGCCCGACCTGACCCTGCTCCACCCTCGGCAGGCAAGTGCCAATGGCAACGATATATATTAAATATTTAGAGACACAACAGAGCACATAACATAGCACAATGCTCATGTATGCCGTTGTCTCTGCCAGGGTTGCCATTGTTGTGTCTGAAGCAATAACTTTTGCATGAGCCCGGCACAAAAAGGGGTCACCGAACAAAGACAGCCTTCCTCGCCCCAAATCGAGTTAAAGTGCAAAAAGAAATGGTGAGGCCTTGCTCGGTCTTTCAGGTTTCCCGTTTCCCATTTCCCACATCCCGTTTCCCCGTCTCCTGGCTTTTAGGCTGCACACGCTGCCAAAACACTTTGACCCGCCTGGCAATTCCTCAATCAATTTCGGGGACAACGGGCATAATGATAATGGCAGGTGGCAGGAGTAGAGTGGTAAAATATGCATTAAAGCTGTGAGCTAAAAGGGGCCGCCAACCTTTCAATATAACCACCCACAGGAGGAGTTGAGGGATTAACATAATTTAGCAATTTTCATAACCTCAGAGGCGTCCTTAACCCTTGCGCGGCAAGGTAATGACCATTTGGCAATTTAATTTCTCGCACGCACAATCGACGAACAGTTCGCTCCAGTGCCCTTCGTGCCCCCTTCTGGCCACACCGCCACACACAGGCACACCCAGGATGCTTGGAGAAAATCTTGCTCTTCGCAATATTGCCAGCCATAAATCCTGCTTAAATTGTGCATGCAGAGGATTTTTGTTCCAGAACAGAGAGTCCCCGTCCGAGCGAGCGCCTTCAGCCCCCTTAAACCACCGAGCCACCGAACCACCGAGCCACTTAGCCGCCTGCAAATTCCTTCCCTGACTCATTCACCCCCCCCCCCCCCTGGCTAGGACGCACGTCGGCTTGTCTTTGGTTCGTGCATATGTTAATAACCGTTAGCTTTGGCCCCGGGGCTTCCCCGCTTTTTTATTTGATATTATTACGATAATTTATTTGGGCAATAAATTTGGCAAAGAAAAATGCATTTACATTTCCCTTTGTGCCATAATTTCCAACTGCCACTCCCCTCCGCCGGGGCGAAGTTACGAGATTACGAGGGGTTAACCCACTCACAGCCAGATCGAAGCGAATCGATGCGAATCGTCGATTCGGTGCGAAACTATTTCCGCCATAACTCTCTATTAAAAGCTCATTTGAATCCTCAACTTTGCCATGACTCATTGAAAAGCGAGTAAACAGAAGGAGCTGGGAAAAAGTGCGATTGAAAATGAGCTTCGGTCGTAAATTTTCAATGAGGGTTTCCACACAATTGCAGTTGGATGCATTTTTACGATTATCACATTATTAATATTATTACTAGGGATATTTCATGGCCTCCTAGCACACCGACGAAGCTATTTTCAGAAGCAGAAGAATCAAGAAAACACGAAGGAAAATTAACTTGGGGAATCCGGAGTTCGAATCCTCTTTCAGTTTGGTCCCAACAGATGCAAAATTTTCAATTGTTACATTTACAACTGTAGTCAATTTATACCTCTTATAAAATTTATAAACACCTTTGCAGTTATGTTAAGAAAACAATAACGATATTTCTATTCCGATACATTTTCAAACTGTAATGAGCACACTTGGACTTCTATCCAAAGAGACTGGGCTAGATCCACTCGGCTGTTGACGCAACTAAAGCTTCATACTAAGGACCTGGAGTAAGAGTATCAACTACTGTAGGTACCCGAAAAATACTTGGAACATAAATAATGTGGCATCAAAAAAAAATATAAATCGAAATCACACTTTTTACTTTTCGCTCGCAGTCTGCCAAAAAATAAAGTAATTTAATAATACATTAAATGTTCTTAGGCAATGCATATATTTTTTTACATTTCATTCTGTCGTTGCTATTCTGTTTTCTTGAATATTTTTGGTTTCTTGATTATAATTATGAGCTGTAGATGACTTTTAGAACCAGTAGACAAATGAAGTCACATCGCTATGCATAAGGAGTAACGTATATTTTTTGCCGATTATCACTTGCCAAACTTGTTCCGTTCAACAATTAATATCCTCGCGGATTCGAGAGATGCAGGATTCGAGCACACTGCAAGCCAGAAGGGGATAGAACACATGCACATAGAAACGTAGGATACGTAAAATAAAAACGCACAGTAACAGAACGCTAAAAAATGTAATTGAACAGAAACGGGAAGGATTTGATATATTGAATGCATATAAATTTAAGTAAATAGCTTGTAAAATGCATAAATCAAAGCGTTAATGGCAGCTGCTTTTATTACCGCGCTGTCCCCGCTAACCACGGTTCACTGTACACCTAGCAGAGCTCACTGTACACTGCACACTGCACACTGCACACTTTGCACCGCCAATTTATCACTTTTCACAAACACTTTTTGCCGACAGCTCTCCGGCTTTTTTCTGCTGCCCGGTTCCGGCACTGTTGACACGCTAATTTAAGCGCGGGCAAACAACGTAAACGTAAATGGTTCGGAGTTGGAATGCCGTAATAAATCATAAAACAAAACTGAACGGTCCCAATAATAAAGAACGAAAGAGAGAACTCTGTATTGCAATGTGATCGAGCATTTGTTTGCAGTGTTGTGTTCTATTTGCGAAATGAAAATCGCATTTTTTCTGTTGCATTGGATTTCTGTGGTATATCAGGTAAGTATATCGAGTAGCTTGTTTATTGGTTTCGAATACGTATTCGGTTTCTGCAATGTTTCATTTGTTTACTTGTAGTGGTGACATATGGTGGCGAATATCCTTGGACTTCGTGACGAATCAAACAAATACCAAATTACGTGAACAAATTACTTGCGTCAAAAACCAAAGTCAAACTATAAAAAATCAGTAGTTTTTATGTGAGAACTGTGAGAACAATAAACGTGAACTAAAAGGAACGCGTTTCGTAATTATCGCTTTTATTCGGTTCGGTAGACGCTCACGCCTCACAGTTGGCCTCAGTTTTGGACGGTTTCAATCGGAATAGAACTCCCCAGCACACCAAAACACGTCGAAAACTAAGGTTCATTGTGGACAAAACACTCTGTATGGAGATTTGGTTGGATACTCGGATCGAGAGGCACTTTATTTGCACGGCTTTGGGGACTTATTGGTTTATAGGCGACTAGAAAAATAAAGAAATAATACTGGGCTACCGACTCATGCAAACCAAAACACACAGCTCCCCTCACATGCAACAAGCCAGCGATCGAGGTCCATAAATAGTTTGCTTAAGTTTCAATACTTTACCCTTCCGCAAATATTCAGCGAATTTTTATCGGTAGAACTCACCTGCAATTAAAAGAAAAAACGAATTCATTAGCAACTCAGCAGCCACATTATCCGCCATTAGCTTGCTACTTATCTCCTACTTTTAAAACATTTTAAAACATTACGAGTACAAATCTGCCTACACCCTCGCCTTTATTAAACTTGACAACTCTGTAAATATTTATTCACTAATAGGATGGGAAATTGCCAGGTAATTATCTCGCAAAAAGTAATCCTTTTATTTACGTTTCAAACTCTGAATTGACTAGATTGCATAGACACGGACTAACCATGGCTATAACGACTCGCCTGTTAAAAAGTTACCAAGAATAATGAAAATTCTAGTCTAGGTTCGGATGATTCTGATAAAAATATAACGCCCAGGAAAACATATGTACATATATCATACAAGAGAGAAGCTAACTTCGACACGTTTGTATACCCTTTCAGACTGCAGACTGCAATTTCATCATTAATAATGAATACAATAAAAATTACATATATTTATGTTAAAAACAACGAAAAAAATGTCTACTTACGTTACATTAATCTAAAAATTCTATATTTATAATTTTAAAGTTCGAGTTTTCAAAGTTTTGCACATTCCTCTACATTTTACGATCATTTCTATAAAATTTTCAAATTTAAATCGAAATTCGGGAAACTACGAAACTAAATCGACTCGGAAGGTTGATGCTGATTAGGAATATATGTATATTAATGGATATGACCAATATAGTATAACACATATATGGGTGAGTTTTTAAGAGCTTTATTCAATTGTTTTACGATTCAAATTAATAACTTCCTAAAAAACACAACAAAGTCGCTGTGAAAAAGATGTCCGATACGCTAATGATGTAATAAATTAGTGTGACTAATTATATAAAAGAGGTTTCAGACTAATTATTTAGTCAAAGAGTGTATGTTGTAAGTTAAAACTGGTAATGGAGTCAAACGTATACATACTTATTTTTTTTAATGGAAGTACTGCCGATGTCGTTTACTCTACAGAAAGTAGGAAAATAGGAAAGAGGGAATAGGAAACTTCGAACCAAAATCCTTAAATGGATTCATAGAAAACTGGCAGGTGTGAGATGAAGGAAGAATTCATTAATTGCCAAGCAAACCACATCTAATTCAGGCACTTGGAGACGATTAATTAATCAATGCAAATTTTTCGCCGCTTGGCTGAAGTTCTCGGTTGAGGCACTCCACATGGCCCAAGTGCCATCGAGCCTCACCTAATACAGATTCCCACTGCCGCCAGTTTATTCGGAATTCGCAGCACTCAAAAGCCACACACAGCACTTCTGGCCAAAACGAACCCCTCCCGATGCCCTGAGATCGGACTAAATTAAAAAGCGAATTGAATTATACAAATGTGAGTGCCGGGCAAAGAAGCACGGAATGGAATGCGAGCTCCGGCTGAAATATGCACGTGGAAAAACCGCACAAGAGGCCACTCAACGGGTAAGTTGACCGTATTTAATGGGCTTGGTGGGCAGACCTCTTCAATGATTCCAGTGCGTGCGTTTATGCGATACCAAAATTGAAAAGTATTTGATCACAAACGACAAAGCAGCTCTTGAAAGGTTACCTCTCTTTTACTCAGGTTGCGTAAAATGGAGATTGCCCGAGGACTCAATTGAATATCGAATCAAAATATCTTCGTAGTTGTTCTCTTTACTCGCTTCAAAGCTACATTTTTTTAAGGACCACTTGCTTGCCGGTAAGATATTTTTCATAGTTTTGCATATCGCTCTTCGTGTTTCTTTTTTAACAAAATAATTAAGCAACTAGCAACAAGCTTATTATTATATTATGTTACGTATTTTATGGTAAAAAAAACACAACCACACATACAACTGCATAGGGGAGAACTCTTATTGGGTTCGGTTTCGATTAATCATAAAGCCTGATCCAGTCTTAAAAGCTCTGCAATCTCATGAATAGAGTCAAAGTTCCATTATACATGAAAACCAAGGCATAAACAGGGAAAGTCTGTGAATGGAACTTGCTCATATTTTCAATAGCTTAGAATAATCACTTGGCGGGGTGAGCAGGATATATGGCACACACGCACAAGTTCTAATTAAACAAACATTTTGTAATTTTCGTTGAACGGCAAAACGACGACACGTGGTCCACCGATGAGGGTCTGGGGCAGGGGCTGGGGCAGGGACAGTGGCTGTGGCAGAGGGATGCGACGGAGCACAAACCACTTAAGTACCAAAGCAATTTAAAGCCGAGGCCAAAATGCCAAAACGAATTTTCCTCCCAGACAGAGGAGGAGAGACAGGCAGTGGGAGGGGCGAAGGTAACGCATGATGGCTCTATATTCGAGCTGTGTGTGTGGGCTTACATATGTATGTACTTTGTGTAAATATGTGCCCAGCATATTTTGCAAAAATAAACATTGCCTCAAGCTATAGACCGACTGTGTATAAACAACGCTCCCCTCCCATCGCCCATCATCTTTCACCTTCACCCTGTTCCCGAGTTCCCGATTCTGCCGGGTCAAATTTGCACTGGGCAACCCTGGTGGGACAGACGGCCGTTTATGTATTTTAAATTTATTTGTTTATTTATTAACTGCATTTTATTTATTTCTTCATTTGGGCCGCGGGCAGTGGGTTGATTTCCGGCATTATAACATCCTCGGCCCACAGATGCTTCCGCTCCCCGGAAAGGTGTGCTCAGTACTGGCTATAACTGCCTTCTGCTTTAATACTCACAATTTTGGGAGTATGAAGCAAAACGACTAATGAAGAAATCTGAAACTGATAAATAGATGTCAAATTATAAAACTTTCAACCTTTTTCCGGGCAAGGCTTACCCAGAAGAGAGAGAGAGAGTGGCAGCTGTGATAATGTACTTTCTTAACCACTCACTTCCTTGAGTTAAACTCCCGACTTAAGTAACCCTGCACATCGGTTTACAGTCTGGTCTTCGATACGAAATAATAATTGCTACTTCGTCATATTGTTGACCAAATGAGTGCCCCTTTCCCCTTTTATTCTTCCCCCACCGCACCGCACAACCAATCAATCAAATTACTCGCAATTATTGCACGGCAACTTCAGTGCAAAAGGCTGACAGCTGTCGTTAAAACAAAACGGGGACCAGGGGCAACGGGACGAATAAACAAACGGACACAAGGACAATTAAAACAGGGCCAACGGGCATTGGCAGAAGGCTGCTTTTGTGCCGTTGCATTAATTATATATGTAAATAAACGGAATACGCATAAAAGTCATCATCAAGTTGGCCCAAATGGTGGCCGAAATGGAACTTTTGCGCTGGCCACCCAACTGTACATAGTGTTACATAGTGGTTGCCCCAAGGAGTCCTCTGGCCGACGCAGTTTTTAATAACTTGGAAGTCATCAAGGAAATTAAAAATTATTAATAAGGCAAGAACTCGCCGCCCATTTGATAGTTTATTGCACTTGCTATTTGCTCCACGACTAGCTGGTAACTTTGCTGGCGCTGGGCACTATAATTTTACAGTTATAGCTTTTTAGTGTGCAACTATTTTTCGTGTAAAACTTTTAATGGAATTCAGCAGGACGCAGCTCTCCGGCAAAGAGCAATCGCCCACCGCCCCCAATTCGATAGTGTGAAGGGGGAAAGCGCATCAAAAAATAGACACCAATTTGTGAGAGGGAGCCGGAATGGTAGTGGGAGTGGGGCAAGGAGCCCGGCAAGGAAGTCATAGTAAAATGAGCGGAAATGAATGGTTTTAAATAACAGCAAATTATGAGTTAAGTTTTCCCAAGTAGAAGCACAAGAAATTGGGCGAGTTGCCGGGGGAAAAGTTTTCGGCTCCAGTTGGATGGCTTAATAAATAATTTCTGAGGATGCTTTGAGGATACTTTGGCCACCGAGTTACACTCGAAGCACGGACCTGAGATGCCTTGGTTACCACAAATATGCTGGGGCAAACCTTGATTACTACCTTGTACAGATTCCGACTCATCTTTGAAATTGTGAAATTAATTATCACACGTGTCCTCTGTCGGGGGAGCAGCAAATTGCCAAGCCCAAGTCCAGACACATCTCGTCCGCCTGCAAAAACTTTGGCAAACTAGCTGCAATAACTCAAAAAATAATTTTGATTTCCCCTACGGATCGGAGAAGTCGGGCAACGGATAGAGGAAAAGATAGTGGCAGCCCTGCGTTGACGTTGCACAATGCCAGAAACGTCATTTGTCAAATGCAAACAGCTCTAAGAATAAACATCAACGGAAGTAATGCAGCCACAAAATACATAAAACAAGCTGCGGCAAGAACGAGGCCCTGCGAGGAGTGGCAGAAGATCTACTGGAGCTAGGATGGAGCCCTTCTGGGGGGCAGGAGGAGCAACTTGCAACTAGCAGCAGACAACAGACAACAGACAGTGCAGCTAATTATCAGCAGCCAGAAGAACTCGACAACTCGTTGGCCAATGCAAACACGGTCAGCAGGGGGGGCTGGATGGAGAGGGGATGGAGGTTGGGGCAGTTGCAAAAACTAAGAGTATTAATGAATAGCAAACGACTTTGACTTGGCCCTCAGCAGTCCGCCCCTGGAAAGTCCTGTAGAGTGTTTTGGCCGTGTTGAGTAATTTACCCAAAAGCTGACGA